GAAAGAGGCAGAAGAATAAGGTTGTCAAGATGAGAGATGACCATCAAATGTAGAAATAACTGTACAAAAATTCAGTTATTTTAGACAACTGAAGAATGGCTAAAACCAATTTTGATTACAGCCTATGAAATCATAGTTTGTCTAATACTGAAGCTTTATTTAATCTAGCATACAAATACAGAGACAGAGTCTATAAATGTAAGTTAAAATTTAGACTCAGACCAAGAAATAGAAAATTTTAACTATGCAATAAAAAGGTTTTCAGGGGACACAGTAAGTTCTCTGCCAACAGGAATCTTTAAATCATGACTGGATACCTTTCTACAAGATTTACTCACATCCAGCCATGTGCTAGATTCAAGGCTTACTAAGTTTTATGGTGTGTGTTATGCAGGAGATCAGATTAGATGATCCTTGTAGTTCTTTCTCTTAGACTTAAAATCTAGAAAATTATAGACTGAGAAGAAACTATCGGCAACGCAATATACTGAATAGATAATAGAAGAAATATCAGTCACACAATGAAATGAAAAGGAATTTGCTTAAAAATGGCTAAAAAGAAATATTCCAAGCAGAAAGCATTATTAGGAAGGTGCAGAAATGGGAGACGCTTTCTGAGAAGAGATCCTTACCATTTTGCTTTAGAGAACAGATGTGCATTTAGACTGAGTTTGCTGCTGTGTTTTCGAAAACAATCCAAATTTCATGTTCAAATGTAGAGAGATCCAGGTTGGGATGCACTTTCATTTGTTATTACTGTTCATTTATTACTAGGGGCAATCTTTTATTTTAAAAACTACATGCAAAACTGATCTTTTTTTTAGTGGATACACACCACGTTCTAGTGATCAAAAATATCCTGTGACATAAAGCTGAAGTTCAGCAAACCGGATTAATTTTGTATTTAAAGTTTTTTGGGGTCAACACACAATTAGAGGCCACCTTTTCTTCTGCCCATTGCTCTTCCATAAGAAAGGCTGCAGGCTACCTAACTTTTACACAGGGGGAATGAAAATAAAAGATTGTTAAATATAAAGGGTGCTGTTCACCCCACAATGTGCTCAGGAGAGGAAGTGACAGGGCAGAGCTGATAGACATGTTTTTAACCCTGGATAGCAGAACTGTTTGAAGTTACACAAAGATCGCCAAACACTGCTTCTGAGGACACGTGCTAGGCAGCAATTTGATGAGAAAATACCAGCAAATGACAAAAAGAAACTGTTTACGCCCTGACAATAGGGCAGAGAATAGACAATTACTATTCTTTTAAACGAAATGCTTACTAATATATGCTGCCCTTTTGACTTTTAATAAATTTTTCCACCCAAAAATCATGTAGAGTCAGAAAAACACTATGTGAAAGCTCCAGCAAAACAAGTCAGATTTTTATAACTTGAGGTCTATACATTTAATAGGTTCACATATACCAACTTTATTTGATACTGCAACTGTATGTGCAAATGACTCTCTATGTTCAGGTGTGTGCATAGATACAGTAATTGCACATGCAAAGGGTACAAACAAATGCGTGTAGACTTCAGTTGTGGTTTGATGAAAATACAAGCAAAGAAGAACGACAAAACTCAGCTTGCTGGAGGGACAGATTGTTTGTAAGCTAAGAGTGGCAACTGGTGCACAGTTCCCCCAAAGCGGCCAACTTGTCCTCAGCCTGGGAACAGCAGACAGTGTCGCACTCCACAACTCCTGAACCAAGCCAAAGCGAGCTGGGTTTCTGGGAGCTCAGCCTCTCCTTGATGAAAGCGTGCAGAGAAGCCACAAGCATCATTCAAATCCTCACAGGGTGGAAGGGATTCAGTGCCCCAGTCACCCTTTTACTAGCCGAGAGAAGGGAAGCAACACAACTAGAGTCCAGTTCCTCTGACTCACTTCACATTAGAGTGAGGTGAATGATATTAACAAGCAAGTTTCCCTTCAGTAATTTAAAAGCGAGTCCCGAGTGACCTACTCACATGTCCTTCCTGTTAAGTGCAATAATTCCCACCACTCCGCAACATCTGATACACAATATTCACTATGCAATTAAAATAGTTCCTGTTTCTTACAACAAAGTCCCAATGAGACCTACAGGCAGAAGCCTCCTATAGTGTCAGGAATTTCTGCTCCAGGAGCAATGAAGGGCTCCGGCAAGGACACCTGAAAGGATGAGTTTGTACATCTTGCCTTTCATCGCCTTGTTGATTCCCAAGCATTCTTAGCGCACACCCCCATACCTGCCTTGCTTTTGTTTCTGATTGCTGTTGGGTTTTTTGGCACAGAACAGGCGGCTTTACCTTAGAGCCACAGCAGGTACTGCAACATACTCATATTCCTCGCCACGGAAAGGCTCATCCATTGCTGGGGACACCAGACCAGGTGGTCTTTTCGCCCTCTGAGCTGCTTTGATCTGTTTGTCCTCTATGCAGGGGAGCTCACAAACTAGGAGCAGCGCTGTCTCCAATGCATCTATCTATAGCTCCTTCCTGTTTCACACTGGCATATTGAAAGAAAACACACATCTCTGGCACAGATCAGTGCTTCTTTTCTTTCTGCAGTTGTGCACTAGACAGGCATCAACATACCCATACATATATCTGGCCTCGCCTACCAGCTTCGCCAAAGAGAAGCGAGAGAAGTAAGACAACATGCCAAAGCCCTCAGCCTGCCCATTTCAGCTTTCCTCCTGAAAAGCCATCTTTGACTGGTCTTTTGTAACAGACATATTCCATATTAGCAGAAGAACTCAGGCCGGTGCTCAGGAAAGCGCCCTTCATGTTCACTAATGCAAGCCCTGACCTGGATTTGTGGACCTGAGCACTCCCCTCACACGAGCACACAGCGCTGCTACCCCTGACAAGCCAGGGGCACTAGCAAGGCCGTGCAAAAGCTAGGCGTTCCTTAGCTGAGCTTCGAAAAATTAACAGTGGATTAATGGTTAAAGGGAACTCACTGGGTTTGAACTTCTGCAAGACTAGCCAAGTCTTTCCTCCTGTGTTTCTTCATACCTGCCCTCCATCTGTCCAATAACATTGTCAATTTTAACAATGAGAGAGGCAGGAATGAAACTTCCTACTCTGCAGATATCTAACTGATGCAGAAAGGAAGGCTTGACAAATACAGTGGGTCATGGACTACATAAATGCCATCTGGGTTGGAGAAGTTCTATAATGAGATGGAGATTTTATGAAAATTAAGCCAATTTGTATAGGTGATGCATCATGGGTCACATCATTTAACTGTAAAAGAAAGGTTTCTTCTTTAGCCAGTGTACAAAGATAGCATGACTGCACTGCATATATTTAAGTGGATTTCTATATATTCCTATATATATATATATATGTATATGAGCCTCATTAACTGCACTGTATATATTCATACACATCTATGAATAAAACAAAATCTTCGTGGTACTGTGCATGCTGAATGTGAATCTATGTTCGGCTGATAGGTTCAGTTGCAGTTTTGCATGGGTTACATTCAGCTTATGAAACCTAATACGTAAGTAATGCTTTATCCCTTTTTCCAACAAGGGGATAAAATGAAATAGCGTATGAAGCAATAGTCAACCATTAGGATAAATGAACATGCTAAGATGTCCATGAAGAGTTTGCAGCTTAGTCTAGTTTTTACACAATGGATAGAAAAAGAAATTGAACCAAACACAAAATGAGACATTTTTCAATAAAGAAAAAACAGGACTTAGCAAAGTTATAGGATACAGTGGGGACATTTCATATTGTGTATGACATCAATGACTTAAAAGGCATATGTATGAGTCACTAATAACATCCAAATATATAGCAAAGCAGACACAATGTTATGTCCGTTACTGTCCTTAATTCAACCATAAATGAAAATCAACTGTTCATCCTTGCGATTTAAAAGTGTAACATTGGGAATTTTGGTTCCCATCGCTAAAATGCTACGAGACTCCAGTGTGTTTCTTTGCCTCATTACTGACATCTGCTGTCCCATGAACAAACAGCACACAAATTCAACAACATGCTTGTCCTCTTCTAAATTCTTTCCTGCTTTTTCTCTCTGTAACTCATACCAAAAATTTGACTGAACAGTATTTACAGGGATTTGTAGTGCTTCCAGAGGGGCTATTTACATTACAGAAAGCTATGCTCACTGAAGATGGAGAAAATGCAGCAGCTCCTTTATTCTTGACACCTTTTTACCGGGAGATAATAATTGCATGTGACGTGGCAGCTAGTTGTGCACAACTCTTAACTTTTATCAGATGGGAACAGAAGATTTCCATGATAATTCACAACCGCAGCCCACTGAAATTTTTAGTGTTTCCACAGTCACCAACAGTACCTGGCCTGCAGCAGTGCTAAACCCTGTCCCAGGCCCCAGTGAGACTGGAAGCTCTGCTGTGCCTGTCTCCCAAACTCGGCCTTTGCAAGCAGAAGTGCACAAACATACCTCATGCCTGTATCTGTTGGCACACAGGCACAGGATACATTTTAAGGAAAATAGTATTCTTCAGTGAAAAAGCACACTGATGACCTTGGTCATGAGCTACTGGTAAATACCATCTTATTTGCCACTGGAAGACTTTTGCCCTTCTCTCACTTCTGAAGCAAAGCGAAGTCCTAGGAATGCTGTGGAGACCAGGGGAAGCCAGGGATGTTCTGGCAAGTGCTGACTGGGATCAGTCAGCAGTTATTCAGTGTGCCACGACTCCAGAGTTATGCTCATACTGTTCTAAGCATGTTGCTATTTATAGACTCCAACGGTTAATGAAAGATGCGGAGATAGGCGAAGGTTTTATTATCCATGTAACGTTTTATTCTCTGGACTAAATCAAACTGACAGGGTCCTTCCTTAGACCTGTTCTCCATAACTAATCCATGGTATTTATCTGCCAGTGAAAAACAGTTTCATAATCTACCTTCCTACTCAAAAACATGTCAATCTCCCTTTCTCTCTTTCTCTCTCTCTCTCCATATTACCTAAATGCAAATAAACAGAAACAAAGTCTACATAAATACCTCAGATCAGTGTTCCGTGGGAAAAGTCTTTTCTTCCCGCTGAAGTAGACCTCAAAATCATCTGTTGTGAGTCTGTGTGCATAGTCAATGTATGCAGACACCTCCTGGTGACGAGAATTTAGGTCACGAATGAAGATTATAGACTGGAAAATACAAAAAACGCCACAAGTGAGGGATGGAAACATACATACATGCATAGATTTCTATACTAAAGCATACCTAGAGGTTACATAAACATTTTCGGGCTCCACCTGGAGTAGGCTTTTATTTGAAATTAAGATACTTAAATTGTGACATACAGGTTTTAATACACTCTAGGCAAGATTCAATTGCCTAAACACAACATCACGTGAGATGTCTTTGCTTATTCCCCCACGACTCCAGCTGCCCCTTCGGGAGGGTATGGATTCCCCATAGGTCCTGGGTCATATCTACTGGCCCTATGCAGATAATACTAAAGCAGCCAAATGCCATTAGGCGCATAATTAAGCAAGTGAACTGAGTTAAGAGTGTTTTTCTTTGACCAGTCTCCAATGCACTAATTATGGACCAAATTAGATGGTGTGAGAATGTTTTTTATTTGTAGGTTCATCTCTCTACCAAAAAGCAAAGCTTACTCAACTCAATATTCATAACAGTTTTTAGCTTTTCAGATAGATGAGCAGCTGGAAATTGGCCATACACCTCTCTATTCTGTGTTATGATCCAAGTAAAAGCAGACTCTGCTGGCCCTCTGTCTCCCAAGACAATCCCTGTGCCATTGAATCCCTGACTGTTAATGAGTACTAGAACAGAAATCTGATGATTTAAAACCTAGCAAACAAACAACAAAAAAATCTGCACATAGAAATTCCACTGACTAAAACAGGATGGGTATAAATAGGAGAACACCAAGAACAGAATTAGTAGCCATAAATTCCTCTTTGGGGCTCTGTAAACTACCCGTTTAGTTCTCGAACCTACACGTCAGTGCTGAATTCAAGGTGGCAATAAGGCACCTAGAGAAGAGCTACACATTCAGTAGCAGTTCTGGCTGAGAGAGATTACTTTTTGTGTCATACTTGGAAGGGTAGAATAAACTGGCTCTAATGCTGCTGCTCAGACGCAAGTCATGGAGAAAACCGGTGATGGGATGGTTTTCTATGTTACCTGTTGGTGAGATCTCTGCTTCTCATTTACTCTGCTCCTTCTCTGTTTCTTTACTTTTTCCTAGCTTTACTGTCCAAACAAAGGAGAATAGCTTGGTAGAAGGCAATTCATCTTGACATGTTTCCACAATGCAAAAAGCACAGAACTGGTAGGGTGAATGTGGATTTAGAAGGGTTCTTGACCCTGGGACCCACACATGAAACACTAAATGCTTAGTGTAAAGATGATTAGGCAGGTGAGATAGGAAAGTATTTTTTTTAGCTGTATGCAAGCTTGTTTTTACTCAGCTGAAATCAGGTGATATTTCTTTTTTAAATATGGGGAAAACTGAAACAATACAAGATGGAACTCTTTCAAAAAACATTTTTTATTTTAACAGCAGCAGAATTCTAGAGCGTAATGGTTTATCTGGCAAGCCACCGGTATACTCAAGATATGTTTCCTTTTCCAATTTTGCGTTTAATTCCATCAGAACATGTGTTACTCATTTTGCAATTTTGTACCATCAGCATTGTTGATGCAAAGAGCCAGAAGGCTCTTTTGTAATACATCCTACCATCTTGAAATACAGCTCCTCCCTATTTCCAGAACACCTTCTTTGGAACAACCGACTTATGAGTCCAGATAGCTAGGTAAGGGCAGATACAACACCATGAAAAAATGAATCTTTCTCTTTGGCATATAGCAAGAACACTGTCGGTTGCACCCACACTTAGATACCAGTTGAGGTGTATGCCATACAGATGAACAACGGATTCATAATCCCTCAGAGGAGTTAGTTTTAAATAAACACTTTGAATTGCATTCTATCAGCCAATCATTTAAAAAAGCTGGCAAATCTTATGTTATCATTTGGAATATGAAATGCAATGAGTATCTTTTAAATCTCTTCTGCTTATAAAATTAATCTCCAAAAGTAGCACTCACATATAATCAGCTATAAATCAACACAATTAAAGGTAAGCATAGAATCTATCATCAAAATTGCTTTATGAACTCCAAGAAATCAACCAAAATATCTAAACAAAAATGTTCTGTGTCAAAGGTACACTTTTGAGGCCTTCTTCGCAAAACTGGAGGCCTTTGATCCATCTCATCTGTCAACATTGTTTCTTTTCATTCTTCGCCCCATGATTCATTTCTAACCACCTATAAGCATTCATTCATTAAACTCTGAATCTGCTCCAACTTTCTTAAGATGTTCTGAACTTCTTAATTTTGTCAAATCTTTCTGCCCCAAAGGAGATTAGAGAAGACTTGTATAGATTTTTCTCCCAAAACACTAAAGCTCTTCTCTTAAAAAAACTTAAAAAGAAAATAAAAACAACACAAAAGCCCATGACAGGAAAACTCTCTCCCAAAGGTCTCTTCATTACTACTCCTCCTTTGTCTCTAACACAACAAACTATTAAGCATGCAGTTGGTGCTTTAAATCTATCTGTAAGTTTTCAAGGGCCTCTTATACATGGTGAAAGGTGGAAAACCTTAAATTTAAAATGATGTTTAAAAGGTACATTCACACATAGCTTTTGGGCCTAAAAACTGAACCTATTCACAGCTGGGGTAAATTGATTTATAATTACTACAGTTTGGAGGAAATCAGCAACATAGAGTTCATCATACTGCTTTACTGATGAGAAGAGGTGCACAGAAATTACCTTTCGAGTACGGTGAAGGATTGAGAAGTTCTTGTACTTTCAATGGACTAAATAGCAAACTCCATGGCCAGAAACTATGGAGTTGTGCCTGATCCATTCAGCCAGAAATTTGGGCCATACAAGCCTGCACATTCCTACAGAAAACAATCAGTGATACGGCTGCTTTTAGAGAGCCACAGGTAATTCACCTCTCTTGTTGGGACACAAATGAAACCCATGTTTTGTCAGTCAGAAAATGCATACAAGGATATGGTTCGTAGCTATATGCAATATGGGCAAAAACCAGTAGATTCAGAAAGCCTTAGCTGTATTAAAGGACTGCGACTCACCCAAAAGAACAAGTAATACACATTTCCTTCTTCTGAAATTTAGACACGTCTCAAAAATGTGGCCGCCACGCTTGGAATGAGGTCAGCCGTTCTGCACGCTCCAATATTGATGTTGGAGGAGGCAGCCGGAGAGGCGCGTCGGGGCCAGCGCTGGCCACAGCGAACACAGGTGGGACAACGGCTACGGGAACGCTCTGCCAGCCTCCTGCACAGGCTTTCCTGAGGAAGGGGAGCTGGACTTGCATCCTGCCTCCCCAGCTTCAAGGAGGTTATAGGAGAAAAGCTCTAACTCTTCACAGGTGGCAGAAAGGGAGGTGTTAATCCCCAGAGAATGAGGATGGAGGCTGAAGAGGCCGACAAAGCTTAACATCTGAAAAGCATGGTTTGGGACAGAATAGGATCCTAGGCTTCTCTGTTTATCCTTCTCATTGCCATCTTCAGTGATGTGTTTTTAGAGCGGACAAATACTGGGAGATGCCAATGCTTTGATTATTACAAAACTATTTGCATCTGCTGCTTCCTATAGACAGAAGCAGAAAATTTATAAGAAGCTGCAGCTTTGCTGTGTTAACCGTGGGGGCACTTTCTTTTGGAGCGTATGTACGTGAAAGGACTAATGCAACCTGCCGTATTTCAAACCAGGTTAAAAAGCCAAACCAAAACAAAAAAACCCCAAGAAACTTCTGTGAATAACCAATTCATCCTGACACTTATTGGCATTTTCAACTACGTGGTATATTTTTCCAATTCTGTTGCCATCAGTGTTTGCCTTTGAACGTGTAGCTCTACCAGGGGATTCCAGTAAGTGCATTTCTTCCATCCAGAGAACATGCAAATCAATTCAAAACTTGCATTGATTTCCACAGGCTTGAAATCAGCTCCTGAGCTGACAGTCAGAAACATGGAAAGTGGGAAAGTTAGATGGGGATAAACATGGAAAGAAAATCAGCTTCTGAGGACTTCCAATGCAGGTAGGAACTTGACGCGCTAGGAATACTAAGGTGTTTCATTTTCAATTCAATGCCTGTATTTGTTTCAAATTCGAGAGGTTCAGCTCATTTGGATAATCTTTTGGGAATTTTTCTGTACTAAACCTAAACAACAAATCTTTTGGGAGTTGCATACCATGGTACGCTCTGCTTCCTATAAATCCATAAACTGACAAATATTGTATACGCTGGGCAGGCCTTCTTGTTCGTGGCACACACCCTATTAATCACACAGATCCACTTGAGCCTCCTGCATGCATTTCTAATTGGAATAGCACCCCAAGGGCGGTTTCATCCAACTCATTCAAACCAATGAAACAGAAGTGTGTGATCTTCATATCACGCTCCAAATTCATGAAAGAAAAAAAAAAAGGAGTTATTTGAAAAGCTGTTCAGGCAGGAAAAATATAAACATAGCTTTCCTTCGGCCATCATTTCAGTAAACACTGCGGACTTGATTCTCACATATATTAACACCATTGATTCTCACATATATTAACACCATTGTATACTGTTCAGGGAGCATAAAACGATTTTAAAAGAGGCACAGATTACGTATACCTCCAGCTTACTGTTTGCTTACACTTCACTAGCCTTAGCGTGAGTAAAAGTCAGACTAGACTGATTTTTGTACTGGGTATCCTGGAGGCATCCAACTGCATGTTCTTTGACCTGTGCTTCAAAAGCTACTAAAATCATCCGGTTAAAACGCAGGCTCATACAGCCATGAAGGTCTTCCACCTTAACCTTATTGGAACCCAAATGTTCGGGTTTCCACACGGATTCTGAGAAAACAGTGTCCGAGCCTGGCTCATTTGTGAGCTTTCAAGTTGCAAGAAAAAACCTTTCAAAGCCCACCAGTGAAACATTCCCATAGACAATATTTCATGCATTTAAACATGTTTCCCAAAAGTAGCTTTGATTCCCAGCAAGCCTTCACCATGGACACCAAAGTGCTAATGCTTGCTCCGTACTTTGGGTATATTTTCACATGCGCCGTGAGACCGGTTTAAGGCTC